ACTAACCGCGTGCTTGCATGCTCTCTCTTTATTTCAGGTGGTGGGTTTTCAATTTTGCCTTAATGCTTTTCTTTCTCATATAAATGTCTACCTGTACTCTATTCCATTAACTTGCACACCTCGCTTAAGCCAATTGTATTCGATTTCCATAACATTTTCGTGGTTGTGTCATTTCTGTACAATACACTTTCTGACCTCGTGAACCTATCCCGGATTCTTTTATAAACAACTTATTTTATATGCTCATTAACTTAAGGTTTATGTCACCGTTTCCTTATGCATTAATCGAGTCATTTTCTTTCTTTCTTTCTTTCTCTCTCTCTCTCAAGTGATTGGCTGTTGTTTGATATCCCCGGTGTGGCTGCGCTTGATGTGCATGTTGACAAGGTACCTACTTGTCTATTACCCACTACCTCGTCCATACTGGATCCAGGAGACAGTTGGTCGTTGCTGGAGGGGATGGGGTTCACGGTCCTTGTGGCCGTGTTGGACTCGAAGAGTGGTTCCATGCAGTCAGTGTGGAGCGGACTATGGTCCAGCCACCGCCTTGTGTGCGTTTGATTCCCAAATACAGCGTGCTTGTGTTTGCCTGTGAAGGAGTGTGGGCCGGTTCCGTTGATGAAACGTGGTTCCCATCCGCATGCCTCCCGGTCTTATTCCTTCGGGTTTACGCTGGATATGGGGTGTGTGGTTGGAGCTGTGGGTGGTGCAGCGCAAGCCATCCATGGTCCCTCTGAAGGCGCAGGCGTCCTGTGGGTGACCACAGTGACAGGCAAATCTGAAACCGGATGCCGCCAACCATATCGTCGCCAGAGAAGATCGAATCAGTTAACTCCTGCACAGAGTTCACCACCCCAAAATAAATCTGTCTAGACAACATAAGAAGCTGACTCTACTGGGTTCCAGACCAGCCATTATGCTTCGACAATCAAAGTCGTATTGAAACATTTTCACCGATCTTTCAGCGCAGTGTGAACAAAGAAATTGATTCGAGATCATTAGGCCTCAGCATAACCACTCATACATAAGGCGCACTACCGATTTCTTTTAGCAAATGTAAAGATTTTAAGTGTGCCTTATAGTCCGAAAAATATGGTACAGTTGAGGCAGGGAATGCTTTAATCCTGCTCACTGCAAAACGGCAGTTTATGGACAGTCTTGTGCTAATATGCAGTATTCGGAGTAAAGGATAGAAACCGGGACACTTGCTTACGCGATCACTAGCTTTTGGGCCGTCACATTCAGATAGTAATGCTTGCAGCTACAATTGAGAAACCACCTGTTTGATCTAAATTACCAGTTGTCTAAAACTATGGGATCCGATAGAGCACGATGAAATAGATGGTTTGCAGGTATCGCGCAGTCGCTTTCAACTAATTGTCGAGTTGAGAAAATATTCCCAGGGAAGACAACAAAAGTAAGATATAGCGAATGGGGGTCGTTATCAGTGGCTTATATTCAGGCGATTACTCATGATGGGTAGGTTAAGCTAAAGAATAAGCCAAAAACGAAACCTCATCCGGTGTTGAACCGAGAGAGCGACAATGATATGCACGACCAACACGCTTTCCGACGAACTGAGTTTCATCCATAGTGTGTTCCAGCGAAATGGATATCCAGCTGAATACATCCGCAGGCACATAAAATTACGAACACCGAAAGTGAAACAAGTTTTCACATAAAAGTCGTCAACCTATGTTATGTTACCACTCAAGGGTGACATGATAGCAGAAGGAACTTTCCGCAGACTCTCTAATGCCACCACGAAAACATTTACTGCGGCTGACTTACGAGTTAGTTTCACTATAACACCGATTGTGATCCAAAATCACAAGAACCGAGTGCCCTGGTCTGAGATTTTTTTCTGTGTGTACAACTTATCCTGTTCGTGTAGAGCAAGATATGTTTGGAAAAACTCTCAGGTGTCTGTCCGAACGAGTTCGGGAACCTTATACTGCTTGCTTAAGCAATAGTATAAAAGGAACGGTAATGGATGCAACGTTGTCGCACCTGACTGGTTCGAATTGCCAGGTCAACACACCAAAGTAGTTCAATTCATCTACCGGATACCCAGGTAGACGTGAACGGTCAGATGCCCTTCACTGGCTACAGCAGAGCCATTTGCTATCTGACTACAAAATCCGGAGTTATGTGCTGCAAAGAAACTCATACAGGCCATTCGGCTGCCTTGGCCACAACCCGCCTCGATCACCCCAAGCCTCCTGACTTGACCTTGAGTGGAACAATCGTTTGAGTATATTTATTAGACGTCTCGATCATTTTATTCATCCCAATTGATTAGTGCTTTGTGTAACCCTCCCACCCTGATGTACTAGCCAGAAAATGAGCCATTGCAAACGACCTCCTTCACTACATATTTTCATCGTTGAATATCTGTAGTAAAACAGGTATATCCGTTGCTATACCTCTCCCAGGTGTCTTGCCAGTCTTACCGAGCGTGCGAATTTTGTGCTAAACTCACAGTGCATACAGATTTGCAAATTACTATGTTGCTCCGTCTGTGCCTTGGCAAGAAGCAGCGCAGAACGAGAGACATTGCAGGTCGAATAAAGATATCACCTGGCTCCAGCTTAGAGACAACCAGAAGGAACGAGATTCCGGTCATACAACACAAAACCTTTATGTTCACCCTGCGAATAGTATAGTTTCTTAATGACTAGTAGAAGAGTTATTTTGTTTCTTAGATGTATCGCCGCTAGACTCAGCCAGAGAGCGGCCACACCATCAGGAAAGCGCTAGACAACCGTTTCGTCCTATTGGTACTTGTCAGTAACGCGCGCCCTCCGGATCCTGTCTTATTCGAACCTGTGACCTTGCTCTCACGAGTAAGAGATTTATGCCACTAAGCCACGGACGCTTCCTTGGATGTGTGGATGCTATCTTGCTAAGTCTAGGTATGATGAATCTTCTCAAAAATATAGGTTCTGTTTATTCTTATTAAAACAATTAGATGGATATGATTTTTACCTTTATTCGTTACCAGGATAGAAGCGAGGTCAGCGCACGAGTAAGTAGGGAGTTGGAGAAATGTTGAACCAATGGTACATTCTAATGTGCCAGACGAGCTTTTCAGAATGCTTACACTTCCTGTCCTTGAATATTGTAGCTTAATCTGTGGAAACATGCGTACGGGTGACGGAAAAGCTTTGAAAAACCTACAAAGCTCATTCACTAAGGGCTTACTGAGTAAATCAACCACCTGGAGTTATTAGGAGCGCTGCCAGCAGCTTAAGCTCGGACCTCTTTGGTTGCGACGACTAAAACATAACCTGGTGATGACACACAATCTCATAAACAGAAAGACGTACTCCAATCTGTTTACACTAAAATTTCAACATCACTCGGAATATGCGCAACAAGACCTGTACATTATGTGTGCCGAGAACCACGACGGTTATCCAATCAAACTCCTTCCTCGTCAGATATGCTGTCGTGTGGAATAGCCTACCAGCCACAATCAGGTCTTGCACACATGCAAGAGCATTCCACATTCAGCTTAGCAAATTCCTTGACCAGAACTCAATAAAGACCATGTTTCCATCGGGTAAATCACCACACGAGTTCTTCCAGGATGGACCAAGGAATAGTTGACCAGTGAGAAAAGATGGTACGCAAAACTTAGCAGCAAGAGAAGTTATGTGATTCCAAATTATTTTGATATCACACACTCCAGCATACATATATCACTCATGCATGAGCATGATCAGTATTGTACCCATGACCAGTCCACAGACCATGGACAGCTTCTCGCACAATCGGGAAATATACGTATTATTATAAGACATCAACATTACATAATCCTAGCTGATCGCCCTTAAACTAGGGCACCTGATTAGGAAACGGTCAATATGGCTCTAAATTTGTGCAACGGATGACTCGTAGCATCCAAAACCTTATCAGTCTCACAGGCGTCTTCACAGCTCCGTGACAGCATGGTACAGTAGAAATCGGAACTGAACTCCAACACTAAGCGCGCAAATCGAGTTATTAATGGATCCTATCCCTCAACGTTTACGCCTTTGTTATCAGCTCTACACGTCGATATTACACAAATCGCAAATGTTTGATCACAAACCCTTCCTATCCAGTGCGATTACGGAAAATCTAGGGCTCCACCAATCTGGATAAATAGATAAAGAAGGTATTTCCTTACTGTATGCTATTACTGGAGTGATGTGTCTTTACAATTCCGCCGGATTAAAGAAACTGGCTCCCACAAAATCAGATTATTCTTGGAAGCATCAATCCACTTTTCTAGCACCCGCATTCACATGGGTCTAGCAGTAAATACTGCGTCAGTCTGGCTGCTTTGACCGCTTGACCATTGCACAACATGGCATTCACACGTTGCAAAGATGCGTTGAACAAATCGGCGATCATCAACATGAACACTGCCGCAGTACCCATGCCATGGAATACTATCGCGAAGTTTGATGCTTGGTATTTGTCCCCAGCTGAACCAGAGTGAACCTACGTCTAAACTTATCATTCTCGGTGTGAAGTTTCAATCGAACACTCTGATCTGTTGGTTACGCTTGACTCACACAGTGGCAACACTAGTTAGCGCAGCAACTGAATACACAGTGTGTCATTGTCCGTTGTGACAAGTATTATCGCTGCTGGGCAGCGTAGGAGTGAAGGAGTCAGCCAGTACAACACTGTGTCGCAGCCGCGCAATCACAACTTGGCAGACGCAAACAAGTGCGGAGAAGCCTGTGTTTCGAGTGGGGAACCCCAGAACGGTTGGCCATTGTCCTTCGCCCGCCTGAAGATAAGCCCATAATACGCAGTGCAATGAGCTGTAAAGTTTTAAAGAGTTAGGTTCGAGCTTAACAAAGAGTGATTAGGTTCCCGTAACTGGTATCATTTGCGAAACACTGGAACCCTTCTAGCGACTTGGATTCCCAATGTCAGAACCTCCATGAGCATTCTTGTGCATAACATGAAAATGATCATGTTCACAACAATCGAACACTTACCTCAGCCACCCGATCGGGGAAGAAATGATTCCGTTTGGATAGGACACAACATATTGACGCAGGAGCCGGCTGGAATTGGGATCGTGTCTGAAAGGAACCCGAAGTCGTATAGGACTAGTTCATGCACACGTATGCGTAGTTTCACGTTGATACAACTATAGCATTGTTGTTATGGGTAGCATGCTCAGTATGTATAAGTGATAAAAAAGGAACTGTCGTTAAGGCGGAAACATTTTGGTTTTTACGTATCATGTTACAAGCTTTCCTGTGGTCAGTCAACCGGTTGCACCCAGCAGAGGAAAAAAGTAAGAGAGCGCATAAGTAGTAAGGAACAATCCCTAAACTTATCCTCCGAGTACCGGATATGTTTATAGATGTTTGCCAAATTGCCAAGTGCGCTACTAATGGGAACTTTTCCTTTAATTGATCGCATGGTGTTTGGTTATCAGGGGACCACCAAAGTCATAGCTGATTTAAAGGGTGATATGGAGGTAATCAACCTTTAAGTATGATGAACGGATTCATTCTGAGAGCCAAAGGCAACCGCTAATCAGGGGCTAACTGATCAGGTAGCCTTAGGAGGTGGGAACAAGTTGTGTGTCTTCGCGCCTCCGCTACTTGGTCGACAGAGTACGGCTAAGTCAAAATGAGACCACAGGCAGTGAATTAGTGTGCCTAGAAAGACAGAGCGTTTTATGTGTGGTCTGGCAGTATCGTTAGGCTTGGTTGCACATAGGTCATCAATCATCATAATCATCAACAGCAGTACATCAGCCATTTGAACTGATGCTTCGCTGCCATACAACCATGAGGACCAATGGGAAGCCATTCCTTTTCGCTGATGATGTTAAAATTGTGTATTGTTCCGCCCCTGGGCAATATAGCCCTAACTTAGCCTATATTCAGTCTGACTTGTCCGCATTGGAGCTCTGGAGTAACTCCTGGAAGTTGCACTTTTCCACTGACAAGAGTAATCTGTTGTACCACGGCTGTGGCCTTTCTCTGAACATCCTTACATTAAACGATACCCCTATTCCTGTGTGTAGCGCAGTCCGAGACCTTGGTCTAAGATATTCTGCCTCGTTTAATTTTTTCGAGCATGTTATATTCTTGCAGGCTTCTGCCAGAAAATTGGTCGCATAAATAAGTCGAACTCTTATTTTGAAGGATTTCAGGCTTCAAGCCTTTAAAATATGTGTTAGGCCGAAGCTTGAGTACTGTACGATAGTGCATAGTAATCTGAGAAAAGTGGATATTATGGCACTAGAAAACATTCAACGATCATTCACAAAAAGGTATTTGAACATGCCTAATACTAGGACATACCGTGAGTGTTGCGAGGCGCGAAATCTGGAGCGGATATGACTACGCAGACTCAAACTTAATCTGTGCCTTCTATGCCGCTTAGTATTCGGGTTAAGCTTCACTGCTCAGCCACAACTCGAGTTCCAGACTCGTATGCGCTATGAACTAAGAAACAACGAGCGCACAGTGAGAATACCAAAGTCTCGCACAAAACTCCGCTCAAAATTTTTCTCTGTAAAATATGCGTTAATATGGAACAAACTTCCATCGGGTGTTAGAAACTGCACTACCTATCCACAATTCAGACGCATGATTAATATTCACCTGACTGTTGCAAATATCTGGTCAACACTAAGCCAAACGGTGACTCTAGATGATTTGTATGAGAAAGGTCCTGCATACATATGAAAGCCACCATATCCTCTATCCGTCTCAATAATATAAGATTACCTACATATAGTTGCATTCTTGAGTATATATTGGGAGCGATCATAATCATATCAATCCGTCTAACCAATTCTGTTTTCTCCTTTGACGCACTGGTTTGTAGATGCACTACACCTTTCAAGCTGATGTCTCTGTACCATCGTCGACACTCGCCAAGATTTTCCATCAAATTGTGACTGGCCTATTGGCAAGCGTTTGTATTCACCATTATGTTTTATAATTCCTCATACTTTATCTTCTTCTTTGTTTCACCATTGGTTATGATTGGGCTGACCTCTTGTGGTGACGGATTACAGCTTCCAAAATAAAAAGTATACCAATGCAAATCATATTACTACTGACTCCCTGGCTTAAAACAAAAAGTGCCATAATTGATTGATCCGCATGACAGAAAGGGCTGAGGCTTCATCGCCTATAATGTATGCATAAAACAGCCCTAAGGAAAAGACATTTGATACCTTGTTCTGATGGCCTATTTACTATCTTGCCATACAGGCACAGGGCCAATTGGAGTATGGAAGTGCGGGTGAAACCCATCGTGGAAATACCCTGCATGGAAGCAAGTCCCCTGGGGACAGTTCCATGGATGACCGTATTACTTTACTTGAACTTTCCGTGAAATCTACATTTATTATTGTTCCCAGTTTCTTTATCTCTCTACTTTTTCCAAACTGCTAATCAATTCAAAAACCCATATGGGAACCATTGATCAAAAGACGAATAATTAACTATATTATGCGATCACGTTGTACATGTTGATAAGACCACCCAATTGGTCTGTGCCTCGCACTGCTGAGGAATAAAACGTTTATTTATACATTTATTTATTTATTTAATAAGTGGGAGAGAAGGGGCTTACCGGAAAACTTAATACCCTAAGCAAACATTCAGGGTCAAGGCGCCTACACCTTGTGTTAACAACATACCGTCACAAACAGCTGGCTATCGTGCAAAGATAAGGCGGCATCGGCGAGACAGCTTCCTTGCGGCTTTCACTGTCACGCGTCATAATCAGCCATTACCCCGCAGATAACTCAGCACCAAACACACTTTAAACAGGCAATCCGATTAGGAGACGGCAGCAGACACACCTCGGGTGTCGCTTGCGAGCCATGTCCTGTGAAGTCTCGAGCCAAGCACAAGGCGAGTCATGTGGACTTCAGCCAGCAAGGCGAGACGGACCAACGACACCCAGTTTGGTCGTCAGTAACATCATTTCCCGCTGCCAAATCAACTTCTGTCCACCTCGAGCCTTGCGCCACCTTACATCTGGCAGACTAAACAAGGCTCTCCTAGGTAAGCGGTGACCAGGCATATGTAGCACGTGCTCGAGTCAGCACAACTTATTCAGTGCCATCTGTTGTTCTAGGGAAATGGCACGATTATCACTACCTAGTACTCGCCTACGTAAATCATCCTTGCGGACACGCTAGTGTCATCCGACATCATCAATGCTTCGTAGACAATGACGATCAAATACTTGAAGGCGCCTCAGATCTTCCGGCCGAAGGGGCCAAGTCTCACGCCAATAAAGCAGAACAGCCCTTACTATGACTTTACACATAAGGTCTTTCAGACGGAGGGAAATTCTCTTCTGTCGCCAGAGATGCTGCAGGTTCAAGAAGGCAGCCCTGGCCTTTGCAATGCGTGAGCTGACGTCAGTTTCTATGTGGCCATCGTTGCTGATACAGCTGCCAAGATAAGTTAATTAATCAACCACCTCGAGTTCCTCATTAGCAAGCATCAAGGGGTCTTCAAGTGGCTGGTGGTCCTGCAGCAACACTTTGCAATTTGAAGGTACGAAGTGCATATCAAATAATGGGACCACTCTGGACAAACTATTCAGGGTTGATTGTGCTGTCGCAACATCATCAAAAATCAATGCGATATCGTCGGCATAATTACGATCAACTAATCTTTCACCAGGCAGGACCTCAACGTCTACTTCGCGAGATTCCGCAAGGGAACGCTTCCTGATAGAATCCACGACGAAATTGAACGGAAATGGGGAAATCGGACAACCCTGACGAATGCCGCTTGTGGTCGAAAAGCTATCCGACGGGTCACCATAGACCCTGAGGCGACCAGTAGTGTTCTAGAGCACGTAAGATGTTCACATATATGTGGGAACACCTTTCCGCGCAAGTATTTCGAGCAGAAGCAATCGATTGACTGAATCGAACGTACTCTTGAAATCGAGGAACACACCTATTGTCGGTCTCCGGTATGCGCGGCGCTGCTCTAGCACCTGTTGCAGAGTGAATACATGGGCTATTCAGCCACCTCTTGAGCGCAAACCTGTCTGCTCTTCCCCAATTCGAGATTCCCGCTCCACAGTGAAGCGACAAATGAGAATCGAGACCAGTATTTTGTGACAGTGGACGTTACGCTAATACCCATGTGGTTAGAACAGTTTATGCGACTGCCCTTCTTGTATATTGCCACTAGAATCGATTCGCTCCAATTAGCCGGGACACACGCTTCCTTCCAGATAGGTACGAATGGGGAGGTCAATACTTTGCAGAGGACCTCACCTCCATCCTTAAATACTTCAGGTGAGAGGGAATCCGGGCCAGCGGCAAGAAAATGATTGAGGGCTGTGATCGCGTTTCGGGCCTCGGCCTCCGACGGAGGCTCTAAACTAACCATCCATGGCTCGTCCTGCATCACATGAGTAGGAAGAGGTCCGGGAGCAGGGGGGCCAGCTGAACTGATCTTGAAAGTGTTCAGCCCAACGAGCCATACGGCGCTCCTTATTGTGTATCAGTGCACACGCGCTGTCTCTTATTTCGTCACTGACGCCTGGTTTCCTGGGACCAGTGGTGCGAATCAGCTGGAAGAGCTTGCGGTAATTGCCTACTGCTCCTGCTTTCTCCATTTCTTGAGCCAAACTGGTCCACCAGGCTTCCTTGTCAGCATGTAGGATCCGCTTTAGTTCACGCCTAATATCCAGTCTGGTCACATTGTGTTCAGAGCCAGCCGGGAAGTTTCTTCTGGATTCCAACAGGTTCACCGCCCTCTCGGATATCCAGTGACTGGTGCGGTGACGATGGATAGTGCCACAAGCAGATACTCCAGCGTCGTGCATCGCGGCCGAGATCCTATTCCTCTGGAGCTCATTGTCAGTAGAACAAGACAGTTCGGTATGCAGTGCGTCTTGAGAGGCATGCCTAACCGGGGCTCAGACAATTTCTCAGTTGCCAATAGGAGGAGACGTTTGGTGCTCCTCTCAGTAAAGTTCATGGAGGAACGACAGCCTACCAAGGCATGATCAGAGTCAACGCAGGTACTCCAGGTAATCCAGGATGGAACCACACCACCCGTAACTTATGGCTATGAGGTCAATTTGGGTCCATCGCTGGCCAGCTACAGGAGGACGCCAAGTGGCACTTCGGCGCCCACTGTGTCTAAAAGCAGTGCTACTAAGAAACAACTGGTGCTCCGCACATGGCTGCAGCAGACGCTCACCGTTGTCAGTCGGTTCGGCGTTAAGCCTATAAGTACCACCCAGCTGAGCCGCTGAAAGCTCAGACCCCCTACTTGTGCGTTCATATCCCCTGAAAGTACTAGAATCTCTGAACTAGTAGCACTGCGTAGTAATGTGTTCAGTTCGTGATAGAATGTGTCCTTGACAGCATTTGAATGCAGTCGGTGGGAGCATAAGCGGAGATCACAAACAAACAGCGTTTTGTACTACTCGTGAATAAACCTTAGCTGGTCTCGTCAAAGGGGCTGCACACAAACGGCTGTTCCCCAGAATCCAATCAACCAACGATAGCACAGTGTTGGAGCTTAAAACGATACCTACCCCAGCTTGACCAGCGAGTGCTGCATTGGTATCTCCGGATGCTTGCAGCCAATAACAGCAGGATAAGCCGGGTGCAGTTAATTCAACAACCCCATTAGGGTCACTGGTCCTAGTTTAGGACACACAACAAAGATCAATACCCAGTGTGTCCAAGGTGCCTCCAAGTGCAGCCTGCTGACCTGTTTGTCTTAGAGTGCAAAACCTTGAACGTCGCCATGAAAACGGGACAGCGTGGCCTTATAAAGGACTGTTGTCGATAGGCGTCCGATAGGTGTTGTGGGATGGTGGCTGCAGATGGTTCTACTCCAGTGGCACTTAGTTTTTGTCTATTAAGCCTGGAATTATAGTAGGAAGGTTAGTAATGGGGGCCGGGATGGGAGTAAGAGAAAAAGGTGGTAAAGAAAGAAGGGAGGCGCAAGCAGTAGCATGTTTTCGCTTATTCGCCTTGCTGTATGCGGCAGATAAGACGACCCTTGATAACCTGCGTGACGGCCGAGGTAGGATGAAGTTTATGTTTGAAGAAAAAATCATGGTTGTAGGTAGATTGTGATATTGCAATGGCGCCCAGACCTAGACAGGAGGACGATTAGGGTCCTCATCCAAAGCCTCCGGCTCAAAAGCCTGTCCGTAAGGCAGCGGGGAGGTGGCAATTAGTTAGTTCTACAGAAATGTACGCCATCCCATTTCAAACCCCCAAACTGGCAGACCAGGAGACTGAGTTTGTCTGACCTCTAACCATTGACAAGACTGGTAGAAGTAGCGTTCAGGGGGCCAGGAAACACCACCCAGTATAGCTAAATGGGTCGATGAAGTAAACAAACCGACGTACAATGTTAAAGTCCAGTCTCGTTGGGACGTCACACATAGGTGACATGCCAGAAAGCTCTATATATGATATCTGATCTAGGAATAACGAGGCTGATGCTATAGCTTGGTACATATAACAATTGTGTACATTTAAGACCGCTTTAAACAGCACACTTCCGGATATGCTAGTTCCACTGTGTAAACTATTTTCATGCTGCTCTCAATCAGGGTAAGTGACAGCTTTATCGTTTTTGTTTGAATTTCTTGCACTGCGAATGATAACCGTTTTGGGTTCCTGTAGGGACGATCATAGCGCAATATAGAAGAGTCTGTTTTGTGTCATACATTGGCTTCGTTCGCTATAATTTAGCTGGAGTTAATTATCCACGAACGAAACAATAGGTAGCCTCCTAGAATGGCGATTTTTCATAATTCGAAGAACGGTAAGAAGCGACGCGTCACCTAATTTTTATGCAGAACGTTCCTGGCAAATGCACAATGCCTGTTAGCACCCAAAAATTTGTCGCATGTGCTCAAGTGCAGGGAATGCACCGTGTTTGCTATCCCAGATCCTATTACTTCGCATGCCATGTGCAATACAGTCGAATACATGGACACTATTGATCCGTGAGTCCTGTGTTTCATGTAGTCCCATGTGAAAAACAGGTGAATGCTGCGCAACTTTTACAAATTGGTGTGTCAGGGTTTGGGATTTTGCCACCTAGTGACAGAGGCAGTAGGAGCACTTACCTATCCTTTGCTTCGTAGTAGGATGATAACGCCCTGATTAAGAGGAGGAGACGCGTTCGAGCTGTGGTTCCCTCAGCGTGCAGCAGTACTGCGCGCGAACTGGCAACCAGCAACCAGTCATGTACGCGTTCGGCAAACGCCACATACGTGGCCAAATCCGGAGGAGCATCCAGATTGAACGGGCAGTTTTGTACCTGAAATATCAGTGCTAGAGTGGGTAGAGCTCTGATAAATCAGCCAGTTGATGACGTTTTATAAGTTAAAAATGCAACCCTTATTTGAGGATGCGGAAATAGACCAGTCTCTTACGCCTCTTAGCTAAACTGTGAGTTCAGTCACCTCCTTTGACTATTCACCATGACGTTCTCGATTGTATATAGCTCGAATTTACGTATTATTAGTATAGGAATAAAGAGCAAGTGGTTGCAGTCCTAAGGTTTCGATATGGCGATTTAATTTTCCTGAGTACTGATAGGAGGTGAGTCCAGAAGACCAAACAAAACCTGCTGGTCATGTCTTCAATGCATGCGGAGCAAGAGAGATAAAGGCACTGCTGATTTGGTGGCACACACATTCGGTTGAAGTTTTTAACTAGTGTTAAAATTTCACCTGGACAGTTAAGAAAGGGGTTAAGTGTAATTGCTGTTCAAGCAACATATATGGGTGCGCCAGTTGTCAAATATCCTTCAATGCCTACGAAGATATACAGGGTTGCCATGGGAAGTGATGTTGCCATTCACCGTACGTATATTTTAGATGGTGTTTCTTGCGGTTCAATCCAAAAGATTGATTGCAGCCTTTTTCGAATCTCTGCCTCACATTTGCTGCACCTCTCTCAGACATAATATACTTACTTAAACAGAAACGCCAATCACAAACACGCAGTCTGGGAGAATTATGATCGGAAAATTGATGAAACCGAGTAGGGCAAACGCACAGTTTTCAAAGTACTGACCATATGACTGCATTGAAGCAAGCAGCCAGAGTTTAAGCATTGGTTACGTTTGGGACAACTATCCATCATTCCCCGAGTTCTGAACAGAAACAGAGATTACTCGACCGGGCCTGAAGGCCGTGTCGATAACCTATAATATGAGGTTCACGCCAGAAGGTCTCAAAGTAGAACAACACTTCAGCATACTGAGAAAGCGTCGTACAACATGGTGCGTTGTGATTCTCCGGGACAACGGCGGGCTTACGATGTTTAAGTCAGGGGTCCTGGGACAACCATAACTGGAGCTTGACATCCGTATGCACTTTCAGGTGGCTGTCATGTGCTAACTACAATGCACATGCAGTAGTAATCTAAATGCTTGTGGACGTATTCCCACAGACACCCAAACAAGTCAAGCAGTATTCGGAACTGGGATTCTCTGTGAGATACATAAGCCTACAAGTATGATAACTACGTCCAGTGCACAGAAGCGTTTTGAAAATTACGAACATCCTGCTTCAGATTCTAGTACTGAGTAAATACCGCTGTCATTCTTTCCATCGGATTACCAAGATATTGGTCGTCAGTCGACTGAAGCAGCTGCTACCATCAACATGAACCTGAAATTGATTTCTCACTGAGAAACCAACGAACCCGCGGAATGGAACAAATCCCATAAATCAAGCAACAAGACAAAACGATTTCAGCTAATTCGTGAAATACCGTTAGAATCGAAAAAGTTCCGTGCTGGAGAACGCATGGCTTAACATAAACTGGAGAAGCGAAAGTTGCACCTATTTTACCAATGGAACGTGAAGAATACCACTACATCGCAGCAATATTACCGCGGTTAGAATCTTTCAAAGAAATGCCATCGAGAGCAAAAACGAACAGCTTATCAGGATGATGCTTCTGGATTTGGCGAGTACAGTTATCCTCTATGGGTAGTGCTAGTGAACCAACCAGTTGTGATGCTTTGAAAATTGACGTTTAAATCCCTTCACTTAAATCGTGAAGCTAAGGGAACATGTTGATAGATTAACAAGCTGCCCCGGTTATCAACATGTGAAATTCCTTTGAATGCACCACGTGGCCCGGAGTTAACCAGTTGCGGGTTTTATTACGATGTACGGGATAGGAGTTACAAATAGGAAATACACAATTAATATTTTTGGTTGCAGATGGTTCATCCCTGATAAGCCTAGGTTACATTAACTAACCCATCAGCAAGATATTCGCAGTTTTGCTGCACTTCCCTACTGATGAGTGGTGTGCTCTGTCTGGGTGTTGGATAGAACAAATCCATGTCCTTTAGGCCCCACTTTTGAGAAGTATTCAGCGTGCTAGGAACATCTTGTGCGTGTTCTTGTCTAAGAGCACCGGATTATCGCAGCCGTTTAAATTTGAATTTGAGTAAGAATCTAGTATTAGTGCCTAGTCTGTATTGGAATTAGCAACAGCCAGAAGCATCCTGGCCACTTCGAGCGACTAGGTGAATCGTCACGGTCGCTTGTCTTGCGCATAGATTAAACAAGATTACCGACAAACTTATCCACATATTCCGAAGTTCCCTTAGTATTGCAGCAGTTCACAATGGGCTTTCTCAACTCATGAGGACATACTGAGTAGTGCGGAGCCCAGTGTTATGACGCAGTTGTTCCGAAGTAATATTCCACTATGTTTACTTACCAGTTTGAAAACCGTCATGAGCTGTGCGTTTGACTCCCCACAATTAATAAGCTGCAAAATAAGAGTGGGAAAAATTACTTGTTATCATCATGGAAAATGTTAAAAGAAACCGGAAGATACTTCACAATCCAAAACCAGCAGACTGCGGTCCCATACTAATGCAGTTATTTCCAACACAGTCAAAAACGGCATCAAAAGGGGTTTTAAAGCAATGTTGCTCGGACCAGTAATCTGAGAGAGAAAACCAAGATTTTAGTCGCGATTTACTGTGAAGTATAGGTAGCCTTCAAAGTGGCGAAAATTTACCAACTATTAGAAAGCTTTTGCTAGCTTCGCTCAGTATGCAGCAGCAGAATTAGGTATTCAGGAGTTGGCATATCGCGAGGTCCGTCATAGAGAAATAGGCGTAGCTTTAACGGCATAAAGTGGCGATAATAGACGGAAGGAAAGGGGTTTATCACTAGTTCCCAGAAGTTGCTCATAAGTTGCTGCAGAATATTGCGTTATGGGTGCAGGTGCAAGTTTAAATTTGCACAACAAAATCGAAAAATGATCAAAAGCTTAAACAAAACTGCAATCATCTGGGATATGTCAATAATTTGATGGTTTATGAAAAGCTTACGTGATGTCATGAAAAACTCGTAACACACCGTAAAATGTGGCTTACAAATGCCAGATATCATTGAGAATGAGTAATCATTTTAGGAAGTTAACAGTGGAGCACTAAACATCTAACAGTGTTTAGAAATGCTGCATTAGATTCGTTTCCACTATCTACCCTGGCAAAATGTAACAATCATAAACCCTCGCCGTTCAAAACCCGGGGGACGAGAAACTCATTCTACCTCTGGAATCATAAGCTTGTAACGTGTTTTCGTGTGTTACGGGGTGGTCACAAATGAGTCACTGGCCTCAGTAGGGGAAAGTTACCTAGCTAGAGAAAGCTGTAAGTTATGAGGAGATCGATTAGCACCTGACGATATGACAAAATGTACACTTTCAGTCTCTCACAACTGTTATCGTAAGGAAAACCTCGAAAACTGAGGAAGAGCTTAGTAGCCACGTGTTGGACGCATATAATCTTCTGCGTCTCGTCTCGAATGAGCAAGCGATGGGTTGGCGAGCCATAGTCAAGCATTGATTCCATGGTGGAGGAGATGGGGTGAGTGGAAACTTGTCAGACGATATGCATAAGCTGCGTTTGAGCACCTCAAGCATGCGCAGTCCGTCTCAGTGTAGCCTGTTTGTGATGTTCACCGGCTCTAAATCGCAGCGTGAGAGTAAGCCTAGGTCCTACATGGAAGGTGTTGGATAGGACAGTTGGCCGTCAAGAGTGTCACTTCGGCGGTCACCAACCGCCTAAAGACTCATGAATACAGACTTGAATGGGTTGACAGGGAGGCAGACATATGCGCACCACGTGGAGAGGCAGTTGAGGCTCTGCTGAATTAGGCCGAAGTTATCGGTGGTATTAATCCCTATCCACATCTTCAGGTTGTATGCAAACAGGGCTTGCCGGGACCGAAGAAACAGAGGTAGAGAGTCGCTACAGATCAGAAACAATGTACGGTCAAGCACCGTGCGCTGGGGTGGGCCACTAGTATGAGGATACCGGTCGGTTAGGTGGCTGTCGAGCTGTAGGTTTCTCTATCGTCCGACGAGAAACTTGGGCAGCTGCTGGTGCGGTGAGCTAACAACAACCCACACTCGCAGCTTGAGGAAAAGAACCTCCTTGTTCGCTTTCTCGAAGGCTTTGCTGTAATGGATAATGAAGAGTCTGAGATTTCCTTCGGTTAACTCCCTGCAAACATTTGTCCATCGTCATCAGCTGATTGATAACGCAGGAACGACCCATCCTGAAACAAACACGACGCATTATTCGGCCTGGGCAGAAAAGAGGGACGGTCGGCGCATGAGTGTCTAAGTGCTGAACAAAAGGCTGTCAACTAAAGTTACCGGTTACTAGCCTCCAGCTAAAACTGCTCCAAAGTCTAAGATATAGAAGTCCGATTTATTCCGCATTCGTCTATTTATATAAACTAACTCGCAGCTGCAATGTAGACACGTCTGACACACTACCAACTGTATTCCGAAACGCATGGCTAAGAACTACCGTTCTTGGTATGGTTAACGGCCTCCACAGTCCCCGGTTAAGGTATAAAACAATAACTTATTACCAAAACTAGGAGCGGCATTCACTCAGACTATTCTATAACGTATTGTTGCGAAAACCACAAGGACATAAAAAGAGCCCCCCCACTCACAGGTGAAGTCACTTTTGCCGGGCGGCTTCAGCTGAGATTACGAAGAAGGAGCGTATCCATACAAGACCCCATCACTCCAGCTAAATGTCATCATGCTTATTAGTCTATAGTCATCAAGTACCGTCTCCGAAGAAAGTTAGGTACTCCTAGCTAGTTAGCACTTATTTAGTCGATTACTTAGTAAGCCTACATCATGGGGGCGACGTAATGAAAACGGGTTTCCCTCACAACGTCGGGCATCTAAGAACGTAATTGGAATGCGCAATATTTCATACCAGGAGAGGCTGCAACGATTGGGGGGGGGGGTATTCAGTGGAAGCGATCGCAGACTACGAGAAGACCTGATTATGGCATACTTGATGCTGCGAGACCCACATCATGTGTGCTGCCCTTTACTGCAACCCAGCAGCAATACAAACCTGAGGGGGCATTCATTGAAACTCGCTGTACAGTAGAGCCGTCTGGAGTGCCACAGAAATTTTTTCCATTCGTGTTTGTCATGCGTGGAATGATCGCTCAGAATCAGTCGTCTTTGTACCGACATTAACAGTAGTTAAAAGACGGTTGGATGACGCGCTCAGCCACTTACACTTTGTCACTTGGCGCTACGTCTCTATCCTGCACCTGGAATTTACCATGGATTTGTTTGATGTTAACTTTGTGTGCTGTGAATCCAATCGGATTGCAGGACTACAGCGGAACAAACGTTAAGTCATTATTTCATATTCAAAGTGTTAACTGGTTTACTACTAATAGTATTATTATTATTATTGTTTTGTCGGTATCCCCCCAAACTATCCAACGGGACTTGTAAAGCAAAGCTTCTTAACCCGCATAAACTCATTGTTAATTTTTCACATGGCTTGTTTGAAATAGTTTCGTGTCAACCTTGACTAGTACTGACAAGTGTTCAGGCTGCACATTATTCACGGTTCGTATACCCATAATCACCAAAAAAACTTGTAATCGGCTGTTTCATTGATATCGTGCACCAATCCGTTTGCTTCATCACCCTAGATAAACCTGGAAATAAATGGCCCGTTTTTTGTCCCTAGTGCTGATGCTTCGTGAAGGTGGCAAATACACCGTGTTCAGTGGTGCCCAAAGCAGGATGAATCTTTTAAAACGAATAGATGCCTCTAATCGGCTTTATATACGTTATGTTAAATGGCATGCCTTCTCCTAATTCACCTTTCTCTGCAGGGTGTAGAAGATTCCAAAATGGCCGATGCTCTGCTGCCTACCTACCGCTCCCCGCTTCATGGTTATGATTCACTTTACCGTTTTCCAAACTCTGTTTCATGTCCCAACCGATCTTTATTACCTGGCTCGCAATGAAGATTGTGTTCTGTGTCAAGTTAATTAGGCTTATTTGCACTTTAAACACATAGGTGACTTTCATTCAACCGTGCATACATTGACCTAAATTTCCAAGTGCTGAACAGACCTAAGTGTCGTTTCATGTGGCTTCGCCTCATGTTATCGGTTTGTGATGCTCCGTTTTAACACCCTCGCCGTAGCATTCGGATACTGGCGAGCAAGACATGCCGCACATCGCATGTGATCTGACGGTGTTGCAAGATCAGCTGAGGAGAGTTCATATACATGAAACCACCTCTTTCGTGAGGACGATTGTAAAGGTTACTTCATGCGCAATTGAAACACTTGCAATACCATCATGGTTTGTCTGTATGTGTAAGGCACTGGCCGAACGCCTACGTTTCACTGCAACCTTCCTTCCTGAATGACCATGTGTAAGCCTGTTAAAGCCACAGTACATTGCGACGCGCTTATTCTACTTGAACTTTAAGCTCAACTTGCTGCCTACCTTGGATTGTTGTCGATGTTTGATACGTCTGTTCCTGAAGCACAGATTGTTGAGGTGTTGTACATTGTGTGTCTTAACTTATTTGTTATGGCATGGTATTCTGGTTCCGTCCTTGTGTCGTTGAAACCGGTGGAGAAGCGTTCAGGGAGGTAGGGTAGGGTAGGGTGGTAGGGAGTGGGGTGGTAGGGTGTGGTGTGCTGGTGTGGGGTGTGCTGGTGTGGGGTTATGATTTTTATTTTTTATTTTTTTTTTATTTATGATATTTATTTTTTTATTTTGTCATTATTATATCTCTTATTTATTGAATCTTGCTCAAGATTTCAATCGGATTGCGACTTGCACAGGGTTTGAGGGAGCTTCTTCATGCGTTCTCTGAACTTTGATGTTTAGAATTCCGCAGCAAGTAGGCAACACATTAGCAGTGATGTGAATATTCTTTCACACTTTGGGCGTATGTTCTCATCTAACGTTTCGGATGGTGGTGACGGTGGTGAAGTAATGGAAGTTTGGTTTTCGTCGATGGAATATTGGTTTTACTTCAGTCGACTCTAACGGCAAGGTAGCGTGACCCAAGCGACACTTGGATTTCACTGGGGATACATTTTGCAAGCAACTTGGAGCAGACATATCAAACGGAGGACCCCTCAAAGGCCCGCTTGGGTAACTTTGGTTGTCATGAGGGCCGCACATGACAACAAATTTGGGCTTATTTACACATATGCATATTCCTCACAACATCCTATTACTGGCTGCAGGAGGGCTTGTGAAGAGCAGCTTGTTTGACACCGCAGACGTAGCAGTTGCGCCGAACCATCGCGAATAATTGTAAGACCCACCGGGTCATCTCAGCTTTGTGTGTATGAAGGTACTGAGAGGTATTAAAGAATGTGGGTGGCGTTGCGTTACCCGTTTCTTGGGTCACAACCACTGACGCCTTCATCGCCAACATCTAAGAGGTTGACAAAATCGTTTAAGTGGTACGCTTTGATGCCAATTCGGTTTCAGGTGCATACAACTGGTGTGTTAACGTGCAAGTTAAAACAAAATTAGAAACCAAGGATGATTAGTTATGCCAGCATGATATGCAACTTTCAATGCCCTACTGCTTTCTTAGCCAGGTAGTAACCTGCTTCATGAATTTCAGAAAGTATGTTACCATACGCTCAGGTATTATTCAACCGGTGCTCTGTACCTTTTCTCAGTCAGTTGCATCCACAACGCTTTCAAACACTTCCTTGAAGAAATCGCTTTCCCCATAGATCTCGCAATATGGACCTTAACTGCATCAAATGGCATCCATCGAGCGTAAACGTTCCCGAAAAATGCGCATTATTCGTTGACTGATCAACCCCAAATCACCCGATAGTATAACTACTGAATACGCAAAGTAGGATGCAATTGGCTGACTTAGGATTGCTCACTCAATACACTGTAGACGTTGGGGGCGTTTGCGCCGGTTGGATGCAGTTTGAAAGCGTTAGGGATCATCTAGAGAGATTTGTGGCGGAATATATTTTCCTTAAAGAAGCATTTGAAAGCGCTATGGATGGAATTGACTGAGAAAGGGCATATAAGGCTTGCAAACGGCCAGCTGAGAAAAATGCACAACCCATGGAGGTTGGTCAACTTGTAAGTGTGCAAAAGCAGTTATTCCAATATTCCAATTATTACGATAACAACGTTGTGTAAGAGTAGTAACTACAACAATCCTTAAATGAATCTCTCCTCTAGTAGTCATACAAATTTGAAACAGGAGTCAATTTCTTTTTAAATGATGATGATAATCTTCGGTTTATATCTTGAAAATATACTGGATCTGTGACGACCCTAATATACTCAGAATCCAACATTGGGTTATTTCTCACCGAAACGATCACATTCGAGAAACTTAGCAGAAAGTATTTTGAGTTTTCTGAGTCTCATTGAACGGAAATCTTACGCATCAGTGTACTGGACTCCAAATAAAACATCTCGACCTTTGGCAATTCGGGATACCCCGCAAGAGTGTTAACCACACACGGATTGCGGAACGTAATTTGTATCACAAAGCTCGTAATAGACAGCATGACTTGGTACATTGTTTACGATGTTTTGGTCATAACAAACAAAGTGAAGGGCAGTGAGCCTAGTAGCTGGGTGCAGCAGATTGAAGACTTACCAAAACTTCAGCCCCACTAGTAAGCTCGTACAATCGTCGTTGGGCTTGAACAAGATCACAGTGCCGTTGCTGTGGCGTTTCATCGTCGGGTAGAACGGTTGCTGTATGAAAGAAGGCGGCGAATGGAGGCATTGGAAGTGATGTACGATTGCAAGTGTCAAATTGATGCCAGGGCGGCACAAGAGAACGGAACAAAGTGCGGTAGATCTCTTCAGCTAAAAAGTTTATTGGCCACAAGCGAGAGCAGTACGACTTAGTAATCTGTATAAGATATTCCCATTAACGAATCCTTTTTACAGCCTTTAGAGCAGGGATGTCCAAAGTCCGTCCTGCAGGCCCAATGCAGTCCTCCCTAACATCTCAACTAGTCCGCAGACTCATGATGGAATAATAAATTCAGGCTTGGACGTTTTTCGTACATTTGTACATTTTGTTGTTATCTTAATGTCAGGATGAATATCTCCAGACATACTTTTACCGCAAAAATGTGGTCCGCCTTGTAAAAATTTTGATACCCTTGCTTTAGAGTAAGCCGATCTAGAAATCCAGCGAGGGAGCGTTAATGGCGTAGCAAAACCCTTGAAGGAGCACAGCATGCAAATGCCAAATATGGTGTCAACTAATGTGTTTGGCATTTCGTCATTGTTTTAGGCCCACAACTACCAGAGTGCATACTGTTTAAATAAAAACCTCGTTCTGTAGACACCCGTCGTTGGAAGTGTCGCACAACACAACCGTATAAGTGTTAAAAAAATTGCGTGAGTTGCAAATTCAAGGTCTTAATTTATCTAAACCCATACTTGAGAAGATCATGCTAATGGTCTGAGTATAGAGGACTCCATTGTAGATCTTTGAGTTGGCAGGTGATAATTGCTTCATCCGCCCGCATGGGATCCGAGGGTAGATTTCGTGTTGTATCTAGAATCGGATTAACTATTCTGCGGCTTTCAGAACCATGAATCCCTAGTAGAAATTAGGGAAAACAGGCGATGCAGGTGCCATACCGGTCTCCAATATTCAGTAACTCTATCATAACATCGAAACAACCTTGGGGTAACAAAAGTGACTGGAAGATTTAATTGAGCCCCATAACTAGCGGGCATAATCTGATGACCGTCACTACATCTGAAAGGCAGTGTATGGTACTCAAAACTTCTGAGATAAATTCCACCTAAGTGGAAGTTCAATTTAATGAACAATGAACAATGGTTCGTAACGGGTAAAATATGAGTGCAAAACAAGTCCAGTAGAATGATGGGAATGCGGTTTCCAAAAGTAAGGTCAAAGTTGACCGGAAAATAGAGAAAATGCGGGTTTTATCTGACTCACTAAGTCGTTCACATGAACGTTGCTGTATTTTTATCCACTGCTACTTTATGGAGAGGTTTGGTGATCACACCTTTTGGTTCGTGCTATATGCGGTTATTTTACATCTCGGCCACGGAATAGAGCAACCGTTGTTTCTGAGACTTGAGGCGATGAAAGATCCGTCTATTGTCGATAATTCTTGACTGCATCGATTTGTGATTTATCCTATGTAGGCCACGGATGAGGTCGGTGCAAGTAGACGACTGCAGTCGGAACAGAGCTCATTGGTTTGGCCCTTGTCTTACACTGAGCTTAGGCTAACATCCTGCTCACTGCACCATGGTAGATTTCCTTAGTTGGCAGTTTATCACTATTTAACCGTTCCATGTTTGTTTCTTACTAGTAGACATCAAATGGGTTAATTAAGATGGTAAATATCAAATCGCAGGCTTATCCACCAATTCAGAATGGCGCATGCAAATATGGTTGGATGCATCCGGTTCCGGACTTACCTGTCACTGCGGCATCCTTAGGATAAACACAGGACGCCGGCCCCTACAGAGCGACCATGGATGGCTTGCGCTGCACCACACACAACTTCAACCACATCCCCTATATCCAGTGTAAACCTGAAGGGATCAAACCGGGAGGCGTGCGCATGGGAGCCACGTTCCATCATCAAGGGAGCCGGTTCACAATCCTTCACAGACAAACACAAGCAAGCGGTATTTGGGGAATCAAATGCACACAAGGCGGTGTCTGGACCGTAGTCCGCTACACACTGGATGGATCCGCTCTTTGATCCTAACACGGCCACAGGGACTGTGCACTCCGTCCCCTCCAGCAACGATCAACTGTCTCCTGGAGCAAGTATAGACGAGTTAGTGGGTAATAGACAGAGAATTTGTCAACATGCACAACAAGCGCAGCCACAGAGAGATGTCAAGCAGCAGCCAATCACATGAAATGAAATGGTTGCAAAGCTGCCTTCGTACTGCTGCACCGTTGCTATTCTGCGCCTGCGAGACTACGACCGCCTGATTCCTCAGCCACGCGCCCAACCAACCGACGGGATACAGGAGGCTAAGGCTCGGTAACAGGGAGTCTATTCTACACGATAGGTCAGTTCTATTTATTGGTGAATGAAACACACTAATTTTGGAAGCGGTTGGCTCTCAGCCAATGTGAGTTAATTCCGTCCCACGGATTTCCCATATTTGGCAGAACGGTTCGCCTCCGTTGACTCTGGCTTGTATTTGCTGGCCAATCAGTTTGCACCCGATTCGCAAATTTGGTAAAGCAGTCGAAGGTCGTTCCACAATATATATATAGACCAAAATCTGTGTTACATATATTTTGATATCATAGTCATGGTGGAGAAAGAGAGCAGGACAGGAATGGAAAAAGTCCACACCTATATTGCCTAGTTTTTCACTCACAGTTTTTGACCTTTTTGACCAGCAATACCAGTAATACTGGACTCCGTTTGTTAGTAATTTCCGCTTGTGTCTCCACCGATTGCAGCTATGATGAGAAGCATGCATCCTATCACGAATTGAAAACGATACTACCAAGCTGCCAGTTCAGATACCATAGTTTTTGCAGGGGATAGGAATGTACAAGTAAGTCGTCTGAGCACTTCAGAAGCTCTGCTAGTTGTTATGTATAGATTTAACCCCTACCCTACAGAAAACGGT